GGGTCGGCTCCTGATATCCTGAGAAAGGTCACACAAACCCCCGGGGATCTTCTCATATATTCTCTGGAGGATCTGAAAGGATGTGACTTCAAGAGATTTAGAAATAAATTGTCTGATTTCTCCTATGGAGGTAAACTTCCCATCCCCCGAGGAAAACTAGAAAATTCCGACTGTATCACCACCAAGGACATCCTGATAGACACATATGGAGAAGGGGCTCTGGATGTCACCATTAAAGTCTTTACACTGATCGGTCTGATGGGACCCGCAAATGACCTCCAGAAGAGGAGAGCCCAGAATGGTGAGTTCCCATCTATAATGACCATTTCCTACCAATTCCTGATCAATAATTGTGTGAGGAAGAATCAGGAATGTCATCCAGGGAAAGCCAGCAACCAGTCAGGAGCTTCCAACTGGATGAACCCCTTCCCGCTGACAGTATGGGGCCTCACAGAAGTGGGTCTTTATCCTGGGGGCCCCATATCTGTGTACCTGTCTTTGTGCTGGGAGCGCTGCACAGAGACTAGGATCTCATCAAGTGCCCCGGGTATCGTACTAATGATCGGGACCCGGGACTCCCACTTTCCGGTTACCTGATCACTATGATAGCCGCTGATTGGCAAACAAATTGATCAGTCATTGTGCAGCCCACCTCTATGTTTTATTTCTTTATGTATGGAGAGAAAGAAACATTGTATACATACAGGACACATTATATCATACATTGTATACATACAGGACACATTATATCATACATTGTATACATACAGGATACATTATATCATACATTGTATACATACAGGATACATTATATAATACATTGTATACATACAGGATCCATTATATCATACATTGTATACATACAGGACACATTATATAATACATTGTATACATACAGGATCCATTATATAATACATTGTATACATACAGGACACATTATATCATACATTGTATACATACAGGATCCATTATCCCAACAAATGAAGCCCAGTTTGTCCTGACAAGACGTGGTATGATCCACCTGAATACACAATGTAGTTGCATTGATATGTACAGATTTACTAACACAGATTATGATTGCATATTTGTGTTCAGGCATTAACATTTGTTTTACCCTCAGTCATTAAGGGGTTAAACAATCTTTCCTGAGGAAGTTTACAAAATAAAATAAAATTGGGTATCAAAATTGTGGATGAAGGAAAAGACTACGGAGTTCAGGAACATTCTGAAAGGGACACAGAGTAACAATTCTCCAGGATGCTGGCAGTCAGTCCCCATAACACAATGACATCACTCAGCATGCCGAGCAGAGCAATACAATTGCAGCCACTTACCTATTATACAGACCCTCCATATTTATAGATTTTTTAGAGTGATTCTTAACCGCTTCCATACGGGCACGTTTACCCCCTTCCTGCCCAGGCCATTTTTCAGGTTTCAGCGTTCTCACACTTTGAATGACAATTGCACGGTCATGCAACGCTGTACCCAAACTAAAATTGTATCATTTTCTTAGGCTGAGATGTATTCTGCTACATGTCTTTGGTGAAAATAAACCAAATTAGGATGTATTATTTAGTCTGTAGGAAAGTTACAGAGTTCACAAACTATGGGATAGATCTGAAAAATTTATCAATTCTGAAGTACTGAAAGCCAATCTAATTTCTTGAGGCCCAAAACATTAGAACAGTACAGATATCCCCCAAATGTCAGAACAGGACAGATATCCCCCCCAAATGTCAGGACAGTACAGATATCCCCCCCAAATGTCAGGACAGTACAGATATCCCCCAAATGTCAGGACAGTACAGATATCCCCCCCAAATGTCAGGACAGTACAGATATCCCCCAAATGTCAGAACAGTACAGATATCCCCCAAATGTCAGGACAGTACAGATATCCCCCAAATGTCAGAACAGGAGAGATATCCCCCCCAAATGTCAGGACAGTACAGATATCCCCCCCAAATGTCAGGACACATATCCCCCTGTGATGGAAGCATAGGCAGGACAGAACATACAAAGAAGATGGTAAGCACACAAAGCTTTATTGTACTATGTGTGGGAACTCACTTCTTAATGGTAGAGCTTTTTTAAAGCACACAGCGACTCACTTCTTTTTAAGGGTCTTTTTGCCCAATTTTATTTGAAAGAAAGTTAAAAAAAAATGCTTCCCACGCAGGGGTATCCACCATTAAGCAAAAAACAACAAAGATTCAGCCTCCTGGCTTATACACAGTCTGATGTCTGTCTCCTGCAGACTCTTCCCAAATTATGGCTCTTACACACAGCTGGCCACTAGCACACAGCTAGTCTGGCTTCCACCTCTCCTTGGTGGAGCCCTTCTGACTCCTGTCTTCCAGGTGGAGCCCTCCTGACTCCGTCTGCCAGGGTGGAGCCCAGAACCATGGCCCGGCCTCCACAAAAAGGCCTGCATGCACCTGTGCAATTGTGAGATGGGGAAACAGCTCTCATTGTTTGAACACTAATTGAAGTAAATTAAAAACGTTCTGACTGCCATTGTGCAGTTTAGCCACAAGATGTTGCTGTTTTGTTCTAACAGTCTCAGACTGCATAGAGATTTCTTTATTCATGAAGGGGTGGGGTTTGAGACTTGGCGTGTGAACAGGAAAAAGGAGAGAGCAGCCATGCTTGAGAGAGAGAAGGGGGGCTGTGTGATCTGAGAATCTGATGCTATCCAGCTGTGAACACTGCCCTCCGTAATCAGAAATCCCATTGAGTGAAGCTGATGGTGTTCAAGACGCTAACCCTGTCCAAAGAGAGGCAGATTTGCTGGCATGAAGCTGATGAGGACAGAGGAGCAAAGCAACATACATTTCTGATAACATTGCATGATTAGTGGAGAGACTTTTGATCTGTTCAGAGTCATCAGCGGCTGCAATACAGACCCGGGTCGGTAAGATCGTGCACGCACCTCATTTCATTGTTGGCGCCTATAACACTGAGTCCAGGCCTATAGTCTGTTAGGGTTTCTGTGTCAGGCCACAAGTGTTATTGCTGATCATTGGAAGGACTCCACAACTTAAAGTGACATTTCACAGTGGAGAACTGATAAAATCCTACAAACTCAAGCCAGAGTGGTGTTTTGCTCAGAAGGAATACTCAGGCACGTGCTACAGGACCAGTTATGGGAGGGGGAATACTGTAGATTTGTGTAAGATTGTAAGCTGTTGTGCTGCACTGCAGGCTAGCCCATACCGTACACCCATACACTGATTCCTGCTCTGTAGGGTAATAACAGGTAAGGTGTGGCAGCTTAGTTGTGCCCCCCAGTATGTAAATTACTACACCTTCTACCTTCATCCATCAGAAGGCACTGTACTGTGCAGCACAAGGGTCTCAGCCAGGCTGGGTGTATGTAAATATTTGTATGTTCCCAGCATTTGGGGTTGTGTATATTTGCCACATCTAAGTAAAAATTCTGTTGTGGGAAAAGCTGGTGTTGCTTTCCTCGTTCATGACTTCACTGTATCCTGGGGAGCCCACCCCCGTACACAGCTTACACAATCAGCGCGCCGACTGCTCTTAAAACATGGGCCCAGGACTGGAGACTTCCACCATGGCAGGATACTGCACTGCCATATACCCCCCCTTTGTTTTGATCCCATAGGGGGCAGAACACACAAACCCAAACTCTTTAATTTGGCACCTCTGTGCCAGCTGTCACCCATATGAGTCCATTCCTGACTGATATTGCTTTCAAAGGGAAACTTTCCTTCCTGTCTTATGAGGTGACTTTCCCTGTGTTCTCCTACTATACGGACGTGGGCTCTATAAAGACATGGTGCCTTGTGACGGGTACAGTTCCAAAAGCGTTGCCTCTCTATTTTCCTTGGGGCCACCCAAGTCACCTTCCCATTAAGAACTTCCAAAACTTGGTACCTTTCTGAGGATGAGGTTGACGCCTGAGTTTTAGGTGTCGGATAACATTAAAGCTACGCTGCACTTTCAACAGCCGGTTTCCCCTTTACATTTGAAGGGGTCACGCTTTTAAACACAAAAAAGTGTGGGCTCTTTTATTGGGGTTACCTTAGACCCTCTCTGCATGCTATGTACAGGCATCTTCTTACTGACCAAACTTAGCTCTGCTTGTTCCCCCCCGTACACTGCATGCTTCCTCTTGTCACTGACATTCTCAGACAACAGCAATGTCCTACTCTCCTTCTGAAGGACAGACCAATTGTCTTGCCCTTCAGATGTTTTTATGTCAGGGGTCCCCTTTAAATAATCCACTTCCTTCAAGTTTTCCCTCGGGGCAGATAAGCCATTTAAAGTTTCCCTTCCCCGAGCACCCTCCTAAACCTGTAGGGGGCGTAATTCTACTGCCACCTCTAGCTCCACTGTGTCTACCACATCATTACCCGCCACATCACGTGTTTCGGGGTTATCCGCACGCATGTCCACATAACCTTCAGGTCCATCATTAGGCCTATGATCACCCACAGAAACTAAATGATCGACATTTACCAGTGCCTCGCACTTTTCCTCATCATATTTTACAACATTTACCAGTGCCTCGCACTTTTCCTCATCATATTTTACAACATTTACCAGTGCCTCGCACTTTTCCTCATCATATTTTACAACATTTATCAGTGCCTCGCACTTTTCCTCATCATCATAAATATCAACATTTACAAGGGCCTTGCATTTTTCCTCATGGTCAGAAACATCCACACCTTTGTCAGAACTCATTTCAATGTTTGGCAGGGCAGTGTCTGGAGACTAAGCGCACACAGCGGAGTGGTTGTCTCCCATGGCAACGTCACTATTCACCTTCTCCACGGGCACATGAACCTCTTCCAGCAATGGTCCTGACCGTCATAACATAATTCTACATTTGGTTTACTGACCCCAATCACTTGATTTGTGCCGTCTGACACTTCCACCAACACCAGCTCATTTGGTATCACGCTATTCATTACCACGCCTTTAGATCCTTTCTGGGTTGAGGGCACAATCTCTGCTATGTGCTCAATCTCACTTGGCCCATCCATATTGGGAGGGAGACCATCTGCAGCAACAGCGAGTGGCCCCTTGTCTATAAGCTGCTCTGCAGTCCCTCCATTTAGCACAGCAGAAGTCATGTCCAATCCACTGTTAGAGACAGAGGTCCCTTCCAACAAAGCCAAAAGGTTTTCAGCCCATCTGTCCCAGTCTACTTTCTCCCGCACTCCCATCAGAGGTACTACGCAGTACCGCACCAACTGCCGGAGGAGACACAGGACAGAGTGGCTCAGCAGACACATCACACACACACATATCACTTTTCTTCAAATTAAACTGTGGCCCTAAATTTTTAACCTCAACAGGTTGCAATACCACACCCTCACCACCGTACTCTGATGGCGCTTCAGTCAACTCAGGAGCACTTCCATACATTCTACGGTCAGTACTGACAGACTCCGCTCACCCATTATCACCATCATACATTCTACTGTCAGTACTGACAGACTCCGCTCACCCATTATCACCATCATACATTCTACGGTCAGTACTGACAGACTCCGCTCACCCATTATCACCATCATACATTCTACATTCATACATTCTGAATCCTGGCCCTCCACCTCCCTCACCCGCTCAACACCCTCCCACTTCCACGTCCTACTGCAACCCCCGCAACTTAGTATCTGCCCCCCTGCTCCCTAAAATCTCCCCCCCGTTTTCATGTGCACTCCTGAACGCCCGTTCGGTGTGCAACAAGCTTACCGCCATCCACGACCTCTTTGTTTCCCGCTCCCTCAACCTCCTGGCGATCACGGAAACCTGGATCCAGCCCACTGACTCTACCTCCCCTGCTGCACTCTCCTATGGAGGTCTCACCTGGACCCACTCACCCAGGCCTAACGGTCGTAAAGGTGGTGGGGTTGGTCTGCTCCTGTCACCGCTGAGCACCTTCCGAGTCCTCCCAAACCCCCCCTCCCTATCCTTCTCCTCCTTCGAGGCCCACTGCGTCCGACTATTCTCCCCAACCCCCCTGAAGATTGCTGTGATATACCGGCCTCCTGGATCCATACCCCGCTTCCTGGATGACTTCTCCTCCTGGCTACCCTTCTTCCTCTCCTCTGAGCTACCCACCATAATTCTTGGGGATTTCAACATCCCTGTCAACCTCGACAACCCGGACACAGCCCGTCTCCTCCACCTAACCTCCTCCTTTGCACTTGCACAGTGCATACAATCCACCACCCACTCCGACGGAAATATCCTGGATCTTGTCTTCTCCAACCGCTGCGCTCCCCACAACCTCACTAACACCCCCTTCCCTCTCTCTGACCACAACCTGATCACCTTCTCTATCTCCTCGTCCTCCAACGCCTACCCCTCCAAATGTCACACTACTACCAGCCGTAACCTCCGCAACCTTAACCCTGCCTCCCTCCACTCTGCAGCTGATCAACTCCACGACCGCATCCTCCCCCTGTCCTGCCCCGACTTGGCTTTGACCGCCTACAACAATGCGCTCTCAACAGCCCTTGACTCACTAGCGCCTTTAACCACACGCAACATCAGACCCCGACCGCTCCAGCCCTGGCAGACTGATCACACCAAAACCCTCAAACGACAAAGTCGTGCCCTAGAGCGACTATGGCGCAAAACCAAATCCAAACAAGCCTTCACCCGCTACAAATCTGCCTTCCGCACCTACACCTCCTCCCTCCATGCTGCCAAACAGGCTTACTTCTTGACCCTCATCAAGACCCTCTCCTCCAATCCTCGCCGACTCTTCTCTGCCTTCAACTCTCTACTCTCTCCACCCCCACCTCCACCCAGCACCTCACTCACTGCCCTTGAGATTGCCAATCACTTCAAAAACAAAATTGACACAATTCGCAAGGACATTGCCGCAACTCACACGCCCTCTCAACCTGTCCCCTCTCACACAGCTACCCCCTTATCCCCCCTCCCCCTCGACATAACCCGCAGGGACTTCGTCGCTGCTCAAACTCTCTCCAACCCCCTTCACCCTCACTCAGCTACCCCCTCATCACCCCTCCCACGGCCCCACCACTGCTCTGACCTCCTCTTCCACCCCACCCTACATTCCTCATACTGAAGCTCCCCCAACACTCCACACCTTTGACCTTACTACCATCGAGGAAGTCTCCAAGACCCTCTCTGATGCCCGCCTCACCACCTGCCCCCTCGACCCTATCCCCTCACAACTCCTACGACCTTCCTCCTCCTCCATCCTACGCTCCCTCACCCACATCTTCAATCTCTCCCTCTCCTCAGGCACTTTCCCCTCCCCTCTGAAACATGCACACATCACCCCCATACTTAAAAAGCCCTCCCTGGACCCCAATGACCCGAACAACCTCAGACCCATCTCCCTGCTCCCATTTACATCTAAACTCCTCGAGCGCCTAGTCTACACCCGCCTATGCTCTCACCTCAACGACAACAACCTCCTCGATCCCCTACAGTCCGGCTTCCGTTCCGCCCCTACACTCCACCGAAACTGCCTTACTCTCAAACTCTCCAACGACCTGCTAACCGCCAAAGCTAATGGCCACTATTCAGTGCTCCTACTCCTTGACCTCTCTGCGGCCTTCGACACAGTCGACCACCCCCCTCCTCCTCAAAAAACTACACTCCCTCGGCCTCAGAGATTCTGCTCTCTCCTGGATCTCATCCTACCTGTCAGAACGCTCTTTCAGCGTTACCTATAATGCTACCACCTCCCCCTCACTCCCCCTCTCTGTTGGGGTCCCTCAAGGCTCTGTCCTCGGGCCCCTTCTCTTCTCCATCTATACCTCCTCCCTTGGCCAACTCATACACTCCCCACGGCTTCAACTACCACCTCTATGCCGACGACACACAAATCTATCTCTCAACCCCCCACCTCACCCCCTTGGTCTCAGCCCGAATCACACACCTACTGAGCGACATATCAGACTGGATGTCGCTCCACTTCCTTAAATTGAACCTCTCCAAAACCGAGTTTCTTGTCTTCCCCCCAGCCCGGACACCACCCCCCATTGATTTCTCCGTCACATCCAACAACGCTACCATCAAACCCGCCCTGCAGGCCAGAGTACTGGGTGTCATTCTGGACTCCAACCTATCCTTCCAGCCCCAAGTCCAATCTTTAACAAACTCGTGCAGACTCCACCTCCGCAACATCGCCAAAATCCGCACGTTCCTAACCCCAGAAACCACTAAACAGCTCATCCACTCCCCTCATCATATCACGACTCGACTACTGCAACTCCCTCCTCACTGGCCTGCCTCGCCACTGGCTATCCCCTCTCAGTCCATCCTGAACACGGCTGCCAGACTCATTCACCTTTCCAACCGCTCTGTCTCCGCCACCCCCCTCTGCCAATCCCTCCACTGGCTTCCGATTGCGCAACGGATCAAATTCAAAATCCTAACGCTGACGTACAAAGCTGTCCACCATACTGCCCCGAACTACATCACTGACCTAATATCCAAGTACCGCGCCCAGCACGCACACTCCGCTCCTCACAAGACCTCCTTCTCTCTAGTTCCCTGGTCTCCTCCTCCCATGCCCGCCTCCAGGACTTCTCCAGGGTGTCACCCATCCTCTGGAACTCCCTGCCCCAACCCATCAGATTATCACCTACTCTCCTCTCCTTTAGGCGCACCCTGAAAACCCATCTCTTCAGGGAAGCCTACACCACCCCCTGCTAACTTGCCTCCCTCCTCCACTCTTCCTACCACTCCATCCCCCACAGCTATCTCCTCCTGTGCCACCACCCCCTCCCTCCTAGATTGTAAGCTCGAAAGAGCAGGGCCCTCGATCCCCTCATGTTTTGCATTGTATTGTTCTGTCACATGTTCTGTCTCCCTTTTTGTAATGTACAGCGCTGAGCGAACTATTGGCGCTTTATAAATACTGTATAATAATAATAATACGGTCACTACTGGCAGACTCCGTTCACCCATTATCACCATCATACATTCTACGGTCAGTACTGACAGACTCCGTTCACCCATTATCACCATCATACATTCTACGGTCAGTACTGACAGACTCCGTCACCCCATTATCACCATCATACATTCTATGGTCAGTACTGGCAGACTCCGTTCACCCATTATCACCATCATACATTCTATGGTCAGTACTGGCAGACTCCGTTCACCCATTATCACCATCATACATTCTATGGTCAGTACTGGCAGACTCCGTTCACCCATTATCACCATCATACATTCTATGGTCAGTACTGGCAGACTCCGTTCACCCATTATCACCATCATACATTCTATGGTCAGTACTGGCAGACTCCGTTCACCCATTATCACCATCATACATTCTATGGTCAGTACTGGCAGACTCCTCCGTTCACCCATTATCACCATCATACATTCTACGGTCAGTACTGACAGACTCCGCTCACCCATTATCACCATCATACATTCTATGGTCAGTACTGAGACTCCGTTCACCCATTATCACCATCATACATTCTACGGTCAGTACTGGCAGACTCCGTTCACCCATTATCATCATCATACATTCTATGGTCAGTACTGAGACTCCGTTCACCCATTATCACCATCATACATTCTATGGTCAGTACTGGCAGACTCCGTTCACCCATTATCACCATCATACATTCTACGGTCAGTACTGACAGACTCCGTTCACCCATTATCACCATCAATACATTCTATGGTCAGTACTGGCAGACTCCGTTCACCCATTATCACCATCATACATTCTATGGTCAGTACTGGCAGACTCCGTTCACCCATTATCACCATCATACATTCTATGGTCAGTACTGGCAGACTCCGTCACCCATTATCACCATCATACATTCTATGGTCAGTACTGGCAGACTCCGTTCACCCATTATCACCATCATACATTCTATGGTCAGTACTGGCAGACTCCGTCACCCATTATCACCATCATACATTCTATGGTCAGTACTGGCAGACTCCGTTCACCCATTATCACCATCATACATTCTACGGTCAGTACTGACAGACTCCCGCTCACCCATTATCACATCATACATTCTATGGTCAGTACTGAGACTCCGTTCACCCATTATCACCATCATACATTTCTATGGTCAGTACTGGCAGACTCCGTTCACCCATTATCACCATCATACATTCTATGGTCACTACTGACAGACTCCACATTATCACCATCATACATTCTATAGTCAGTACTCACAGACTCCACATTATCACCATCATACATTCTTTGGTCAGTACTGACAGCCGCCATTAATCCATTATCGCCATCATACATTCTATGGTCAGTACTGAGACTCCGTTCACCCATTATCACCATCATACATTCTATGGTCACTACTGAGACTCCGTTCACCCATTATCACCTTGAGCATTTTCAAATATTTCAGTTTTAGCATTTAACTTATCACTTGGTTCAAGTACGCTCTTGTCTACAGCAGCACCATAGTTGTCCCAGGCAACCTCTGGCTCCAACACACAGAGCTCCCAGGAGGTTTCCATGGACACCTTTTACAGCCCTGGATACTGTTGCCAAGGGCAACAACAGATCTTTAATCATATTCACCTCAACACTGTTATCTTTAGTGAGCTGTGCTAGCTCATCACCAACCATAACCTTACATTTACCAACAGTAACACTTTTGTCAGCATGACCATCAGCATTCTCATTGCATATAGACATGACTGTGGCTTTTGCTGGTAGTCCCTGGCTATTACCCAGCTGTGCAGCCTGTGAGCCATGCTTCACAGCACCCTCTCTCTTTAAAGGGGCACTATTTGCTGTTTTAGCAGCTCCATAGCTGACCTGGGAAATCCTCTGCTCCGTCACTGCGGGCTCCTGGGAGGTTTCCCTGGGCATCTCTGCAGCACCTGGAACTAGGGAACACGGTGACAGGACAGTTTTGGTCACCCCTAGTCTAATTTCACCAGCCATCTGCTGGATTATAGCAGGCACCTGCAGAGTCCCCATGTCCTTTTCCATATTTAGTCCTACTAATCGTTGGGCTTCTCCCTGTGCCTCCCCACTACTCAGGATAGCACCCAGCAGCCAGTCCATGTCCATCTGTATTGTGGAACTCCCTGAAGGACACATTCTCACTTCCTTGGACTCAGTCCCACAACCTGAAACAGTCTTACCATTTCCTGCAGCAGGTGTCATAGCCTTCACTTGAGTACGTAGTCTCTCCTCTGTGGTGTCTCCACAGGCTGACTTCCTATGTGGTCACGGGGCAACACTGCAGCCATTCCGGACCCACTTACACCCCCTGCAGGTAAAACCAGATCCCTGTTGCTAGGGGTAACAGTAGACTCGCTCTCAAAAGGCAATTGGCTATACCTCATGTAGAATGCAGACTGTTGTGCCCTCTGTTCAGGGCCGAACACTTCACCTAAGCGGCAATAACACAAAACCTTGTATTTCTCTGGCTTTCTGATCCCTTGGCCTTCCAGTGACACCTCTCCCAACCTGGAGCATTGCTGGCCAGCCATGACACGCTGAACTTCCCCTCGAAGAAGGATTTCCTCTTTAAAGGTGTAGTAGTCATCCTGGGACCAATCCATCAAATTATTACCGGAACGCTGTCGGTAATAATTGTTGCAGCAATTCTGGCCACCGGTCCCTAAGCCATTTTCTCTGTGTAGCGCCTTTTTCAAAGAAGTCCCCAACCTCCTCTGTAGGTAGCATGGGTTGCATGTAATCAAAGGCTCAGAACTCAGCACCGCTCACCATAGACTTTACATTGCAGGTATTGCTACGAGCAACTACACTTCTCTCAAACTTGTGGTCAGCCTTTCGCTCATTCCTTGCACTCAGAGCCAGCTTGCCAAACACAGATGCAGTCCTTTGCTTTGCAACTTTGCAATGGAGGCTGAGACAAAGGGCATTCAGAGACAGCGTGCCCCCACTCCCTGCACCACAAGCATCGCTCTTGCCAGCGTGTCTTGTCCAGGCTCCCCACATTGCAGCCTTTTTCCAGTTTAGAACTCTGCACATTCATAGCTGCTCTCTTTTTACCAGTGTTGCCAGGGGCAACAACATGCACTTCCCACTGTGGCAACCTCTGTTCATCCATGTATGGGGCTCGTTCTGGGGATAACAATCCCTCCAGCCACACGGCTCTGTCTCTCATTTCAGGAAATCTTGCTTCTTTGCTTTGAACGCACCATCTTCACAGTCACTTCACAACACTTTTGCACAGTCCAACCACAAAGGAATGAAGCACTGTCTCTTTAAGGCAGGTTCTCCTCACCTGCACACACAAATTGTGCTGTCCATTGCACAGAAACACAGTTCATATAACTGATGAACTTACTTCTTTTGCAGGGATCTCCAATTCTGCCCCCTGCATCCGCCACCATATGTGGGAACTCGCTTCTTAATGGTAGAGCTTTTTTTAAAACCCAGCAACTCGCTTCTTTTTAAGGGCCTTTTTGCCCAATTTTTTTTTAAAGAAAGTTCAAAAAATGCTTCCCACGCAGGGGAAAAACAACAAAGATTTAGCCTCCTGGCTTGTACGCAGTCTGATGTCTGTCTCCTGCAGACTCTTCACAAATTATGGCTCTCACACACAGCTAGTCTGGCTTCCACCTCTCCTTGGTGGAGCCCTCCTGACTCCTGTCTTCCGTGTGGAACCCTCCTGACTCCATCTGCCAGGGTGGAGCCCAGAACCATGGCCCGGCCTCCACAAAAAGGCCTGCACGCACCTGTGCAATCAGCGCGCTGGCTGCTCTCAAAACATGGGCCCAGGACTGGAGACTTCCACCATGGCAGGATACTGCACTGCCACATATGAAAGACACTCAATCAGGACAGTCCATGGCACTCTGCAACATACAGCTTGTAGGGACACTCATGATAAGCGGGCTCACATGGACTCAGCGGGACTTTGGCTGGAGGACTGACCTCAGCAAAGCTCCCACACAGCTTTCTAGAACCACAGCAGGCTCACGGGGACTCAGCGGGACTTTGGCTGCGGGTCTGATATCCCCCAAATGTCAGGACACTACAGATATCCCCCAAATGTCAGGACAGTACAGATATCCCCCAAATGTCAGGACAGGACAGATATCCCCCAAATGTCAGGACAGTACAGATATCCCCCAAATGTCAGGACAGGACAGATATCCCCCTGTGACAGAAGCATAGACAGGACAGAACACACAAAGAAGATGGTAAGCGCACAAAGCTTTATTGTACTATGAAAGATACTCAATCAGGACAGTTCATGGCACTCCGTAACATACGGCTTGCAGGGACACTTGCGATAAGTGGGCTCACGGGGACTCAGTGGGACTTTGGCTGGGGGTCTAACCTCAGCACATCTCCCACACAGCTTTCAAGGGAAAACATCAGGCTCACGGCCACCCAGCGGGACCTAGGCTGTGGGGTCTGGCCTCAGCACAGCTCCCACACAGCTTTCTAGGGAAAACATCAGGCTCACGGGGACTCAGCAGGACTTTGGCTGGGGGTCTGACCTCAGCACAGCTCCCACACAGCTTTCTAGGACAATAGCAAGCTCACGGGGACTCAGCGGGACTTTGGCTGGGGGTCTGACCTCAGCACAGCTCCCACACAGCTTTCTAGGGACAACATCAGGCTCATGGGCACCCAGCGGGACCTAGGCTGTGGGGTCTGGCCTCAGCACAGCTCCCACACAGCTTTCTAGGGACAACATCAGGCTCACGGGGACTCATCAGGACCTTGGCGATGGGGTCTGATTCAGGTAGCGATGGCTCAAGCCCTCAGTGGGGCAGTCCAGTAGCTATAATCCGGGCACGCCATGGGGCAGTTTAAACAAGGGCGGTCTGAGCACACAATAGGGGCAGTTCATGGCTTCTAGGGACACTCACAATAGGTGGCTTGCGGGCGCTCAGCAGCAGGCGGCTTCCAGGAAGGTAGGTGGCTTGCAGACACTCACAGTTCCAGCAGGGATGTCCTGGCTCACAGCAGGCGACAGAAAGGGGGGGTGAACCTCCTCATCACACAGCAGAGCGGATAACCCTGGCCCCAGAGT